AGGGACGGCGATGTCCCATTCTGGCCTGCAGGCAGCAGACGTCCCACCAGCTCTGCTGTGTCTTACTGTCACTGACGACCCAGAGGGAACAAAAAGCACTTCATCACTGCTGGGAGGGGGGGTCATATTCTTCTTCTTCTCTTCTGGTCGATTTCAGCGCCCGCTGCGATGGTCCAACAGTTCAAATAAGAAAAGACTTGAAGCGGAGCTGGTGCTTCAAACTGTGGAGATTATTTCTGTGTGTCTGCGAGTTAATGAAGACCACCCCACTGTGTCACACACATAAAGAAAAACGAGGGTCTGAGATCATCTAAAGGACAGCGCTGCTCAGAATAGCTCCATGATTATTAAACAAGTGCTCCCTCCTTCCTTCCTTCTCCGCCTCCTTCCTCTCATCTCCATTTAGCCTCGTTCTGTCCGCTTCCCCATCAGCCTCGCCTCGCTCCCCGCCTCAGTCGCCGCCTCGCTCATTCTGTTCGTCTCATCCTGAACTCGTGTAGACGCCGTGTTTGTTTGCAGGGCGTGAGCACGGAGTGGGCATCGTACAGGCTGTGAAGCCCTTTGAGACTAACGTGATGTTGTGTGACACAGATTATTAGACTTGACAGACTCCTTCCTCATGTCTGTCCTATTTCTCTGTTTAAACTATAAACACCAGCTGTGTCTGACGCCTGGTACCACTTATCAGTTTTTGGTGTGCAAAGCTAAATCCAACCATCAAAAGCTGGATTTTTCCAAGGCCTGAGAAGCAACCAGAACTGCAGTTCCACTAATGTCCACTCGAGGCTGGAGCCAAACAAGGAGAGCACTGCGAGACGGGATTAAAGCAGAAAGTTCGGCATGGCTGTAACTAACACAACATCTAAGAAGTCAGTGTTTTGGTCAGAATGAATGCAAACACTTGCAACAGGAAGTCAGCGATGACTATTTTATGTTCAGGTCACCTGGTAAGAGGCGACCTGTCTCCAACCATCAGGGTCAGGCAGTCAGACTGATCGCCAGCGTGTTGCAGTCAGTCGGGCCTGATTTAGACTTCGGTGACTCTTTGTACAGCCCACCATGTAACCTGCGTCAGTGTAAGTAAGTTGTGTTACTTACACAAAGTACCAAACAGACCAATCACAACAGTCTTGGGCCGCATTGACCTGACGTGCCGTTACGTTTCTGTAAGTGTGAGCAAAGCTACGCCGCAGGTCACGTCGCTGGGTTTGGAAAAAGGTTTGTGGTTAAGACGTAGCATAAAATCCCGGTCAGTTTACATATGGATCACGTCTCTTTGCAGTGGAGGGCTCAGCTGGTTGTATTCTGAGTTAAACTGCTGTCCTGCAGCTTTTACGTCACTATTTGCAGATTTTTGAACTTCTGGTTCAGATCTGTGAGGTCCTGGCTGGATGCTGGATGTGATACCTGTATTCCAGACAGATGCCTGCCAGGTTGACTCATTCGGTTGCAGACTGATAGCAGACTGACTTTGTCTCATTGCTGTTTTATCGCAGTACAAATGCAAAAACATTTTTAACTTCCAGTCTTTCAGTAATGCTTTAACAAACTGTGTCCAAAGTGAATGCTGAATACAGAGGATGAGAACAGCACCTACATATCTGATTTTTAATGATATTTTTCCTGCTTTCCAAAGACGATGCAGCAGCCGTGCAGCTTTCAGCTGCTCGTTACATGTGACTGCAGCACCATCATTAGCAAAGCGGTTGGTTGCAGGCGCTCGTGTCGTGTTGGCAGCGTGTCACCGAGCGACCCCGGCTGGATGTTTACAGCTCCACACACGACAAACCGCGCCGCGTGTTTAGCTCAACAACGCTAATTAAAACGTCCTGTCAGAGGTTAGCGAGCATGCTAACGTTAACCACCGTCTAACGTTAGACACTGCACGGCTCAGCGCTCCGGCTTCTAAGCACTGACCTGTTTTTTCCTTCCATAGATTTCTTTCCCCATTTATTATGATCCTGCATGAAGCTGCTCGTGAGCTGATTTGTGTAATTGTGCAACACAATGAGCGTGCACTCATCACGGAGCTGCAGTGAAGCTCTGTTTCCTTCACAAGAAGCAAAACTGCTCAGCGTGTGCAAACTGAAGTGGAAGAGAATCAAACCTTCAGCCTCCACCATCCCACCTGATCGATAAATCTGTGTGTGTGTGTCTTCAATAACAAACAGAAACTCACACACCGCCTCCCTGCACAGGAAGGACAACACAAGGCTGCTTTTGTCTGTTTGTGTGTTTCCATGGTGACTGAAACAACTGAAAAAGGCACGGACGAACGCAGAGAGCTAAATGGACGGAGAGGCTCTAATGGCAAACATTTATTTTAAGCAAAGAGCTAAAAATCAAAGTGAAAAACGCCGCCTGCTCTGACTGAGGGAGGTTATCGATCCTCGGTCTGCTCTGAAAATCTGTCCCCAGAAGTCAGAGCGAGTCCTTCACAGAGATGTTTGTGCCAGACAATCAGATTCAACATGGAAGGAAAACTCAGATTTTTAAGGTTAAACTCTAGAGACTAGTGCTGGGCCATATCATACCGTTCACGGTATAATGTTGGGCAACGATAAGAAAATGAAATATGGCGATAGAATATGGGTAAAACGCGCATGTGCAGTGCCTTTGTTTACATACGCACATGGACGCAGAATGAGAAGAGCGAGAGCGGATCGTTGAATGAAACAGATGAACCAGAACTGGTTTGTAAAAATGCTGCAGCTTCACTGGTGTGGAACTGGTTTAGCTTTCGTCCGTCAGATACACAACAAAGCACTATTTTTGGTAGCGCATGCTAGCGGGCCGTCGTTATTACCGTGTTGTTTGGAAAATACGGCGCACTTAAAATCAATCCTTTGATTTTTCTGAAAGTCGACAGAGCCCCTTATAATCCCGTGTGCCTTATGTATGAACTCTGGTTGTGTTTACTGACCTCGAAAACGATTTTATGTGCACGGCGCTCGAAAATCTGTCAAATGTTTCAGTACGACTTTGCTAAGCTACGAAGCCGCACCGCTTGATGGATTGTCGGAGCATTACGGCTATCGTAGGCGGAGCCTCGCGGAGTGATACGTACTGTGCTTCAACATAATGTTACCGTATTGTGTGTGTATAACCTCTTTTTAAGTTTTGTGGATATTATACATGGTTATGCTGAGGATATGTCGGCCAGTTTCCACTGGAAATGCCTTTTGGTTAAACTGTCAGCGAGGAATTTGCATTCATGTTAATTTTTATATAACTTTAATGCACATAAAAAACAGCTGCTTGTTTAAGTGAAAATACATTGATGGGGTTTTTTTGCACTAATAAAGTTGTGGAGTTGTAAAGTATTTTGTCTAGTGTCAATTATATCGTCAGTCATATCGTTATCACAAATTTTCAAATGTATATCGTGATAAATATTTTGGTCATATCGCCCTGCTCTACTATAATACTGCAGTCACACCTAACAGGAGGAAATACAGCTTCAGTGACCTCATCTCAACGCGTTTAACATACTTGCTTCTGTAATAAGCTGTTTGTGATAGTCGCAGATGAACTGTGATAAAGTCAGATATCTTCTGCTGACAGTAACGACGTACAGTCTGGTCTGAACCTCAGAGATGAAGGTGGGCGCTCAGCTTGAAGCTGCCTGAGTCTTTACTTCAAACGTGAAGCTTAAAGGAGAATAAGATGAACTTAAAAAGTGTAATTTTAGTTTTGCAAATTTTAAGGCAGAAAATGTCAGGATGCATCTGTTTTAGAAAGCAGAAAGTGCTCACAGTACATGAGTGAGAGATGGTAATCTCACTTTCTGTGAGTCTCCACATCCTGACAGTGAAACCTGTGACATTACAGTCGTACGTGTGCAAACATCGAGGACGGTCAGCTCTGGAGGTTTCCTCGGGGCTGTGAGCAGACCTTAATCCGAAGCTCTTATGAAAGACTTCATTTCAAACTTGTGTTGGATAAGTAAGGAAGTGCAGTATTTGTACAGATATGAATACTTTGTGCCCGGCCCGTCTCTCACTGACTAACTGATTGGTAACTATGCCAATAAAATACAACATAGACTCTTGTCTTATTAATGAATTCATGTATTTATTTTGATTTGACCAAAAGAAAGATCAGTAACTGTCTGACCTGCTTGGTTTCTGTTAAAGTTTTTAAAAGGATGGAGCCGCCGCCTCCTCAGACTGTACTCAGTCATCAATAATGTGAACCTCTCTCTGCTGTGGCTCTGAGTTGTGTTCAGCTGCTTCCTGCATGGACAGGTGAGTTTGCACCTGTGAGTGAGGAGTGTCTTTATCGGCTGATTTTTCATGAAATCATGAAATAATAAAATCTGAATTCTGACTTTGTCGCCTGTTTGTGACCCGTCAGTGAATCTGTCAGTTTTTATATTTTTTAAATTTACTCAAAAGAAGGTGTTGCTGTAATTAGATTACTTTATGCAGGCATCGAGAATTACATTGAAGCTATTATGGGATGCTCGTATTAACGCACTTCATTTTCATTGTTAAGCTTCAAAGGGGAGAATCTGTAAGAAGACTTCATTTAAGTGAGCCGTGATGTGTGAGTGTGCTCGATGAACTCGTGATGCTCTCTGAGAGGCTGTTTGGGCCTCTGAGAGCGCTGCTGGAGCTGGCGGGAGGTTTTTAGGGGGGCTGTGGACCTAATTAGGTCAGGTTGGTTTTGTGTGTGGCTGGAAATGTGCACAATGAAGCCACACCGGAGTGGTTTTCTGGCAGGCTCTTATTTTGATTCATTTAATACATTTTTTGGCCTCATTGTCTCCGTCTGATTCGCAGCGGCGCGCTCTGAAACCTGATGAGGCCGAGGAGTAAATGGTAAAATTGCAGCCTGTGAGCCGGGCAGCGTGGGGGCTCGGCATGATTCCACCGCGCTTTGTTCCCCGGGAGGGCTGCTCGCACGCGGACACACGAACCGATCGCATCTCAGTGTGCTGCGGCTGATGTCTCCACTGTACATTGTTTGTTTACAGTCTGTCTCCTGTTGCCCCGCAGCTCGCCACGTGGGACTCGGTTCACGGCCTGAACGGCAGCCTGAAGGAGAGCCGGATAGAGAACGGCATGCAGGGAGTCACGGTCAAAGTGGTCACGTTACTGGTAAGTGGACGCTATCGTGGACACAATCAGTCGATCCATCTTCCTGTAAGAAAGGAGAGCACAAGCTGACCAGAAAACACGAGGTCAAAGGTCAAGACTTTTCATTTCCTCATAGTCTTCTTATTGTAAGCAAAGGGGTGGTCCTTTGTGATCATTAGAAAGAAGCAGGTTTAAGGGTCCCGGTGACAGCAGAGTAATCGGGGTAATCAGGGTAATCAGAGTAATCGGGGTAATCAGGGTAATCGGAGTAGTCAGGGTAATCAGAGTAATCGGGTATTTCAGATGTCCCTTCCTTCAGCAGTGTTCGGTGTCCTCGGTCAGATGAGATTTGTTGGAATCCGAGGTTTTGTGCTCGGATGCTTTGTGCATGATAAAGATCTGCAGTAGCTGAATATCTCTTGTTAGCATTCACTGATGCTCCCTGCAGCTCCAAGAGCGTGCGATCCAGAGGAGGGCGGGCGCTGCATGGCGAGTAAATCAACAGCATAAACAGTGAAGCATCGCAGCGCCGTGTTTACATCCGTGCTGCTTGCGTTACCATGGATAGATCCACTCCAGGGTTGTTGTACTTGTTGTTATTATTACAGCATTTTCAGTTCAGTCCTTTAAGCGTCGGTTCAACTGCATCTCAAAAATATCAGCACAAAATAAACCCCAGAGAATCCACAGAAAGCTCTCAGCCAATAGAAGAACTGCTTTGTACGTTTTTAGGTTGTGTTTGATCAGCTTCGAGTCTCCGCGCTCGCTCGTGTTCCTCGGTCTAAGCAGCTCCTCCGGTCGCTGTGATTAGAAACACCAGCAGCAGCTTCCTCCAGCACTTCCTCTCGTGCCGGCACAGCGGCGTGGAGACGCAGGTGTAACTGAGCGAGACTAATACCTTTACCCTGCCATTCATCCACTGCAGCTGCAACACTTCAGGTCACACGCTGCCAGAAACCTGCCCTCAACACTTTAACCACCAAACTCGGCACCTGTGCTTCTCTACGGAGAAACACAGCATGTGCCTCTGTGAACCTTCTTTATCCCGAGCACGCTGTTGTTTTAGGCTCTGCTCAGAGTCAAAGCGAGCCTCTCAGGCTGGCCTGTGGGAACAGCCCCACAGTCCCTGATTATTAAACATGGAGGTTCGTATCATTCAGAAGATGAGGAGACGACGCCTTTCTGGGAATAACTGTAGATTGTGACCTGCCCTGTATTAGCATCATAGCTAAACGTGCAGTTATACTACCTGTGAACACGTCCTCTCCTGCAGACACCTGGTGCCGCCTAAAAAACAACCAAGTGAATCCAGATGATTCTGTTTAATATCTGAGATCGAACGGCTGAAAAGCTTTGAACAAAAAGACAAACGTTGTCTTGTTGCAGCACATTAAAGGCAGCGTCACATCGCCCTGTTGTGGATATTCAGTCTGGGCTTGCAAAGCAGATTTTCTCTTTAGTGCAGCTGGAGCCGAGTAAACTTCAGCTTTGGGGTATTTTTGCATTTTTTAGGTCCATTTCTAAGATGCATGAAATGAAACTTTCAGCTAGTCAAACTCAGCTGGAGAGTTTTCACCGTTTGTGCGCTCTCCTTCTAAAGGCTGACAAAAGTTGATCTCGCTCTTTGTTTCTCGGTGTTTTTGCTCGGAGCTGCAGTTTGTTGAACGCGCAACATCGCTCGGCCCTTTTCTTCACTGCTCTTTCTCACTGCAGGAGGATCCTTTTGTCATGGTGGCGGAGAACATCCTCGGGCAGCCGAAGAGATATAAAGGCTTCTCCATCGACGTCCTGGACGCCCTCGCCAAGATCCTGGGCTTCAAATACGAGATCTACCAGGTGGGGCTGACCAGCAGTCTGTCATTTGGTTTGAGCACTAACTCAGCTTCACCTCAGCTCCAATCTCACCATTTAAAATACCGTTTAATTTCATTTACACAGCACCAAATCACAACAACTGTCGCCTCAAGGAGCTGCATTGATTATAATCTCCAACTTTCCTGTTATCTCAAAGATTCTTGACAGAGCAGCTGTCAAACAGCTGGCAGATCATCTGCAGAGGAGAGGCTTTTGTTTTCGGGCCGATATAAACGAGCTTCTGAGACGTTGGAATAAACTCGCTGATTTTCTTCTTCTCCTTCCTCTCAGGTAGCGGACAGTAAATATGGAAGTCGGCTTCCCAACGGCTCGTGGAACGGCATGATTGGCGATCTAATCAACAAGGTAGGGCCTGCACCACCTTTCTGTTCTCTTACACTCGGTCACTTTGGAGCGTGAACGAAAACCCTTCCTCTCCCTCGCCCTGCAGAGAGCAGACCTGGCGGTGTCCGCCATCACCATCACGCCAGAACGGGAGAACGTGGTCGATTTCAGCAAGCGCTACCTGGACTACAGCGTCGGCATCCTGCTCCGAAAGCCCGAAGAGAAGATCAACATCTTCTCTCTGTTCGCGCCCTTCGACCTCGCCGTCTGGGCCTGCATCGCCGCCGCAATCCCCGTGGTGGGAGTGCTCATATTCCTCCTCAACAGACTGCAGGCGCTGCGCTCCTCGTCCCAGAATGCACCTCCCGGTCAGCCGGCTAACGGAGCGGGGTCGGGCACCCTGCACAGCGCCATCTGGATCGTTTACGGAGCGTTCGTGCAGCAAGGTGAGCGAAAGGTGACATCGAGAGGAACGCCGTTAGGGACGATTCGGAGCAGGCAGCCGTTCCCGTGTTCGAATTTTCCTCTTTCAGGAATTCGAGCAGTCATCATGCTTGACTGTGACTTTGTCCTCAGTGTTTTAAATGTCATGACTTTCCAAAAACTTCTCTGTGAACACTTTCCAAGAATTCTGTAACAGAAAAAACTTCCTCTCGCTCCAAAATCTGTTGTTTCTGAGCGTCACCTCTGCCCCTGAAATGTCCTCAGTGTGGACGTAAAACAGTGCAGACACACACACACACACACACACACGCTTTCCCTGCAGATGCATCCAGCTGCATCTATTATGGGCTGGCAGGTTGCCTGGGAAACCTTTTAGGCCTAACACTGTGTAGACGCAGCCTCTCGGCTCGCTGTGATGAAGCACCGCCCTCACCTGCCGGTTGGATCAGGTGACACGCGGGCTCCTGGTTGCCGAGAGCAGCTGAGAGGTCGCAGGTCTGACGCCCACTCCAGCTCGTGGGCACAAACACTTGCATGATTTAAAAATGGGCACTCGACACTCGAAAATCCCGACGTCTGAATAACGACCTGTGTGTGTGTGTGTGTGTGTGTGTGTGTGTGTGTGTGTGTGTGTGTGGTGTGTGTGTGTGTGTGTGTGTGCGTGTGAGGGGGGACGGTGTGGTGGGATCGGTCGCTCTGAGGATCGTCATGGGCAGCTGGTGGCTCTTCACGCTCATAGTTTGTTCATCGTACACCGCCAACCTGGCGGCGTACCTCACCGTGTCACGCATGGATCACGCTATACGGTGAGGTTCCACACACGCACACACACACACACACAACTCACACACACACACACACACACACGCACACACACGACACACACACACACACACACACACACACACAACACACCACTACATGAACAGCTTGCTGAGCGTGTTTGTCTGCAGCTCCCAACGTTGTAAACATACATCTTTCATTCGCGCGCTCCGAGCAGACACACACAGCATCCTGCCACAGCGATGGGTTTCTTCCATCAGCCAATCACACGCTCTGCCACAATCAGCACTTCCTGCCGGGGTCGGTGACGCTGACCTGCTTCTAAAGCACCGCGAGCTCAGACATCAGGGACGGAAGAACTGACCTGAGCTAACGTTAATGAAACAATCCTGGTGGACGGCACGCTGGCTCAGAGGTTCGAGCTCTTCCTCGGAGAAACATGCTGATGCCCGACACACGTGATCAAGAGTTTCACTTCCTGAAACCTGACTGTAAAAAAGATTTTCATTGGATCTTGATGTTTTTCATCTCCACCGGTGACGTTATGTGCATTTTTTCGTTGTCTGGTTGTTAGCAGGATTGTTCCAAGCGTTCTGAGCAGATTACAGCCAGATGTTAGCAGAGGTGGAGCCAATCCAGATCCAGGAAACAAACTCCAACTCAACCACAAGTTTCTGGCTCTCACGCAAAAATGAAACTATAACTAAAACCCAAACTGTAGAAAGCAACACATGAGAGCAGAAACTTCTGTGTGTCTGGTTCTCCGAGTCTCGGACTCTGTGAAGCAGCAGCACTTTGTCGGGATCAGTGCTCAGCGAGGACTCTGCAGCTGGAGGAAGTTCACTCAGTCTTTATGATCTCAGAGGTCAGGCTGAGCTCTGTCCAGTAAGAGTACATTTATAGGGTTCAGGGTTTTAGAGACTTGCAGCTGTTCCTGCAACGGTACGTCCTGATTCAGAGTATCAGACACTGTCCACACCACTGCTTTACTGCACAGGACAGAAGCCTCCCATCCAAAGCTAACATCTGCGGGATTATGACTGAACGCCTCCAAGTCAGAATCCTGCCTCGACGCAGGGACATCGTAGCGCTGTGGATCTGCTCGTATTGATTGATTGCTGGGTCGGGGATTCGTGCGTTGCAGAACAACTAATTGCTGCAATCTTTTGAAAGTTAGTGAGCAACTGTGGTTCTTGAGCTACAGCAGCCAGAAGGTCGGTGGTTCAATGCCCATCTACTGCAGTCTGCATGCTGCGTCCATCGGACCGTGAGTGCATGCACGATGTTAGACGAGGCCGTCATGGGCTCGTGCGTGATTGGTTGAAGAAGGCACACCAATAACAAAGAGCACACTTAGAGAGAAAAGCTGTAACTAGCAGCCTGTTAACCATTTACCACGATAAGACCACGTGCACACACAGGCTGCTTCTTCACTTTCTTCATCTGCTCCTCATTTGTGACATACAGGTTCAAATAGAATAGAATAGAGTAGAATAGAATAGACTTTTATTGTACTGAACATGTACAACGAAACCAACTGTGGACGACACGCAGTAGAGGACAAACTACTAATAGGAGTGACGTCACATGGCTCTGTCCATCTTTTAAATACAGTCTCTGTGAGCTGATGTGGCGTGGAGCCGTCACTGCAGTCTCCACACGTGTCTTGCGAGGTGGGAGTCCCACTGTGTTTACCAGCCGTGATTTATTCGTCTTTTCCCGCCACAAAGAAGCCGTGGGCATGTAACGGTTTGAAAAACAGAGACCAGACATTAAGCAAATTTGTGGATACTTAATTAAAGCTGTTTCCTCATTGCGCCGATAAACACGTTGGAGTTTCTGCTGAATAAATTATAACATCTAAAGACCAGTTCTGTAAAACTGTAACTGAGCGACCTCGTCGGCTCTGCGGCGGCTAATTAGCAGCGAGCACAGCGTTTTCCGTCCACGGGAAGCTCGGCTCTTAAAGAGACGCCTGACTCGGCTGAACGTGGCCGCCGCTCCTCTGCAGCACCGTGTTAATTGCTCGGCCGACCTCGGGAGCTTCTCCCGCCGATTCTTAACCTTAAGGAGGGAACTAAAGAAACTGATTTACATCAGTGCTGTGGGAGGCCGGAGACGGGCTGCTCATCCTCTCTGATTTAACAAACCCCGAGAGAGGAGGGTGTGAAGGTGCAGCTGATCTGCGGATGGATCGAGAGGCTCGCCTGCGCTGCTGAAACGGCTCTCGGCTTGAATATTTCTTCATGAAGGAGCCACGCTGCAGCGGCTGAGTTCAAGTATTTAATGCACTGCAAAAAAAAGCCCGTCTAACCAGCGCCGGCTGCCTCGCCGCTTCAGTCTTTTTCACATTTAACACTCTCGCTGTTGACGAAGAACGCGCTGACCTCGTGGCGAGGAGCGCTGGCGGATTTTGCAACTCGTCCAAAAGCCGAGGAGAGGGAAAGTTTGGAGATGGTGAAAGTTCACGTGTGATTTGCATAAATACTTAAATCCTCAGCACTAAGAAAAAAATAAATAAAAGTGTGTTACGCAAGAAATGCAACGATAGCTGCGGACTCCTCTGGGCGAACACGGGAGCTCGAGCTGATCCAGTAACTCGTCCGTCACGTTCACCAAATATGAGGCAGGAAATTTAAAAAAGGCTGTTTAGAAGAAACCTCGACAGGAAACCGCAGTAAAAGGTTCAAAGCATGAAGGAGACCCCTGACTCACACGGGTCAGTTTGGAAACCCACTGGAGTCTGAGCATTGTCTTCAGCTCATCCGGGACCAGGTCGCCTCCTCCAGCGTGTCCTTGGTCTGCTCTGAGGCCACGCCCCTAATGATGCCAACTTTAGGCTTTAATACAGTTTAAACGGGTGAGTCATGGAAAAAATTAACCGCAGAGAACAAAACAGACTCGGGGCTGGAGTGAGCCTCCAGTGGACATTCGAGGAACTGCAGTTTGTGGCATCTCTGGCACTTTCTCCGCTGCAGAGTTCAGCACACACTGCTTGTGATCTGTGAGGAGAACAAACATCAAAAATACAGAAATAAACTGTCCTGAGTTCACAGAGCATCACCAAAATTCACTGAAGTCTTTGTTTCATGACCAAAAGGAACAAAGCTGCTCTGAGTGATAACAACGATTTCCGCCTCCTCAAACTTCTGCTCGGCCTCTTTAACCTTTCTGAGAACTTTTGCACAGCTCAATAAATTTCCTGCAGACATCTAATGAGCAGCTTTTAAGCTGGACAGATAATGCTGACCCCCTTCATCGCAGCGAACCGACTGACAGTAATTTAATGTTCCAGGCGAGCAGGGCTCACCGTGAGCCGTGTTGTTTGAACAAACAGGCAAACACGAACCCATCACAGGGTCAGAAACTCTCGTTTCCAGAAACAACCTGGAAAAACAAGAAGAGTCGCAAAAGTGGGAAATATTTGACTTTGATTCAGACGTTTTTCTGCAAATGTGCAGAGATGGGTCAGCAACGGCTTATAGATCAGGAGTGTGTCCGCTTACAGGAGCCGCACACTCAGAAGAAATCCGCCCGCCTGAGCAGACACGGCGTGTTGAACAGTCTGCGCCTGAGTTTGATCCTCCAGGATATTTCACCTCGTTCGCTTCACAATTCAGATTTAAATTTAAATAAAATTGGAGTTCATAAAGAGAAGCCTGGAGCAGCTCTTCATATTCAAAAGTACAACTTTCCTCATGTTTTAAATACTTTTTAGTATCAGGGTGTGTCAGAGTGTGATGAACCCCAACTCGCAGACCGGCTGCTAAGTCAACGACTTCACCGTCCAGCTCGTTCAGCTCCCTGCATCAGCACCCCGACCCGGAGGGCTCAGGCTGAGAATCACGACCTCCGAACTGGAGGTGCTGATTTTCTTTCCCATCACCTGACCAGTCAAGTCAAGTGAGAAGATAAAAGCAGACGAGATCCTGAGTACCAGGACGTTAACCTCACGCCACTCAGCCACGCCTCGAATAAAAAGCTCGTCTTGATTTTCAAAGAGAATTTCGATCCGTGCATGTTGGGAGGGAATGTTCCTCGTGGTCGAGCTCTGCAGATTCCTGAAAGAAACACTGCAGAAGAAGAAGGTGCAGTACGCGGCGACGTCATCTGTTGAAGCTTTCTTTCAGTCCCAGCTTCGTTCTGCAGGCCGACTTCAGACTTGTTGCTTTGAGGTCAAAGGTGGTTAATTAGTCGTCTACGTATTAATCGAAAGAATTTTTCTAGTTAGTGACTTTCAGCATTCAAGTGTCAAAGTTTTTAGCTTATCACTTTAAAATCGACATCCCAGCGACCCGAGTGGAGTCAGGTATGAGGCCTCCACTCGGGCTCTTTGTACCGCAGTGATAGTGTGTTTTTTTCTCACTGAAACCCAAAAACACTCGAGTGCTGAAGCGTGAGCGGCGTCAACGGCGTTGGCGAGTGTTTGCCTCCCACCCAGCGCCGCAGGCATCAGATCAAAAGCAATATTTCATTTTTCTCTCTTTTTTTGTTGTCGTCTTCACCTCGATAAAACCCGAGTGGTCCGACATCAAAGTCCGGAGCCTCTTTTTATATCGTCACCGGCCATCATCGCGCCGCTGTGTGCGGCTCTGCCCGGGTTTCAGGTTCAAAGACCCAACTGCTCCGAGCCCTTGTTGTTCAGCAGCTCCGTTTCCCTTTAGAGCGTTCGGCATCCGGAGTGGCCATTAATGCTGCTCTGCATTCACGGCCGAACAACACAATCAGAGGTGGACGAGCTCGATCGGAGCCAATCAGATCAGAACAGCGATTAGCTGCTGGAGCGAGGCGTCCGTGCTGCCACGGCTACTGGAGATGAAACACTAATCAGGACGTCTGAAGGCTTTGCAGGAGGACTGCGGGGTGTTCACAGTGGCCGACCTTCACTTTGCATCCGGAGATCAATCCTGAAAGTCCAAAATTCAGGTTTAACTCACAGCCAGTCCTGCCTGAAATCATTGTTTAGAGAGCTGTAGTCATCTTTAATGTGGCACAATGCTGTTAGACAACTGGAGAAATCACTGCTTTGAAACCTCTCGTTACTCATTTGAAGTGAAGCAGATTTTTATTCAAATCAGTTTTTATTTCAAAGGATTTTGATACAACGTCAGGAAAAAGTTTCCAGTTAAACCATCGTGCTGACAGGAAGTGTGTGCACTTCATCACACGTACAACACATCTGGCTTCCAGTACAAAACGAGCAGCTCATCAACACCGAAGACGGCCCCTCAGCAGGCCACAGCAAACTGGCCAATCAAGAGAAAGTGGGCTTTTAGGAAGGGGCGGGGTCCTTAAAGAGACAGGAAGTAAAACGGCTCACTTCAGTCAGAGAAAAAGTGAATCTGGATTCTTCTGCACTGCGAGTAGTTGAAAGCTACTCCAGAAGTTCAAGAGCAGTCCTGCAGCTCCTCGCTCTGTTTAGGAGTTTAGCTTGTCTTCACTGCACACACACACACACCCTCTGGATGCACGAGTACACTTGTGACACGCTCGGCACAAATGCACAGCTCAGGTACGTCGCCGTTTATCTGGGCGGTGCGTGCGGAGCGTTATCTCTCACTTCCTGTCTGAAGGTTCAAAACAGCCATTAATATCAGCTCAGCTCCGCCCTCTTCTGTCTTTACTCGTCCGGGAATCAAATCCCCGCTGACATTTCCATCAGCAGGCCGGCGGCGTCACTCCGTGACAGGCGGCTCATTGAACAGCGTGACGCCTAAATGCTGAAATGTTGCTTTTACTGACACTCGCAGATTTGCACGTGATGCAGACTTCCTTTAAAATCTCCTCAGACAACAGAGCGGTCTCCTCTCAGAGCGACAAACATCAAGCCCGCAGCTGCGCGTGTGGACGCAGCGACGCGTGAACGCGCGTCCTCGCTCAGATTTATGACGCGTGTCTGTGCAGGATTTATTATTTCAAAGGCTCAGCAGGCTCTGTTTATAAATATAGATCAGGACATTAACAGTTATGAGGAACAGAAAGTAAAATATAATAATGATAAATATCGTTTAACAAAGTCAGGTTTCCCTTTTAGCTCGTTGACGCCTCGAACCGCACAGCGAATCATAAACGCTGCCTTTCAGGAAACGTTTACTTCACCTTCACTCAGACGGCGTCTGCTTCGGTCCAAACAACAACAGTGAATGCTCACGCCCGCCGGTCATATCCGAGTATTTATTATTGATATGTGCAGCAGGACTTTATTTACTTTCATTTCCGCAGGCTGTGTGAAGCTGAAGCCAAACGGTCAGTACACACTCACAACAAAAAGAAGACTTTTTATTTTAAAACCGTCGATTCATCTCCAACTTTGTCATCAATACTGAGGCCTCGGAGATGAAGTCGGTGCAGAAAATGCCTTAAAGCTGAAATAAAACTTCTTTATTCAGATTAGTTTAGTGTCACTGCCGTCTGATTGGTCGTTTGTCCTGAGTCCTTATGAGTTGGCTGGCTTTGTCCCATCTCCCTCCCTGAGCCTGGTTCTGCCGGAGCTTCTTCCTGTGAAAACGGAGTTTTTCCTTCCCACTGTCGCTTGTGCTTGTTCACAGGTGGCCGTCTGATCGTTGAGGTTTTCTCTGTGTTACGATCTCTAACTTACAATAGAGAGCACTGTGAGGTGACTGTTGTTGTGATTTGGTGCTGCATAAATAAAATGGAAGCAAATTTTTGTGTTGAGCTCAACAATCTACTTTAAATTGCTCACAATAAGAGCATTTCATTTAAGTCAGATTGTATGTTAAAAACAAAAACGTATTAAATCAGCCACGGAGGAGACAGCATGAGGTTACATTTAAAGAATATGAACGAACATGACACATTCAAGCAGAAAGTGACAAATGTCAGATTTACAGTAACATTTTGGGCGTCCGGACCAAAGCTGCAGACGAGGGAAGGATGTTTCTCAGATTTCAAGTGGAAGTGAAACTCCCGCCCACTTGTACATAAAAGAAGAAGGTGTAGATACAGGACATAACTCCAGCTCCACAGGTCAGAAATCACCTTTTACACCGGCTGGGTGACACCCCTCGCTGAAGAGGCCGGCACTTTAACCGAGCGCACTCGTCAGACTGCGGTTTCCTGTCGGTTCATTTAAAACAACGCTCTTTGGTCTGAAGTGGTCTCAGATCCCAGCCTGCAGGGAGGAGCGGGGGTCCCAGCAATGACCCACGCTGACCTCTGTTTATTCCACACATTACTGTTTAAACATAATTACAGAACCAACACGATGGAATCAATCGCAGCAGGAACAAAGAAGCGCGAGGCCTTGTTGGCGCGAGACGACTCCTCCAGAGAACAAAACGCATCGATTCACAGACTTTAACAAAGCAAAAACAGACAAATTAGTGTGTGACTGCATCTGAGCAGAAAGTGTGTTTAAAGTATTTTTAGCCTGGCGGGGAACCTCCGAACACTCGTCTGCCATCGAGCTGTTTCAGTTTGGACCACATTAGGTCAGCCGCAGCACCTTCAGACCGAGCCTCCCTTTGAAGTCTTATGATGGAAACATTAATAAACCGACTGGCTTACAGCGGGTATGTCAAACATAAGGCCCAGGGGCTGGAATCAGCCGTGCAAAGACTCCAGTTTGGCCCACTGGGTGGCTCTGGAAAACGTTTTCATGTTTCACAATATTTCGACAGAAAAAATAAATACAAACATAAAGAAATTACCAAGTGAAGCAGAAACTGCAAAGGTCCCAACCTGATGCAAACCAGTGATATGACATCAGGGACATGTTTGGGCTCCATACTGTCATACTACCTCCTCCATGTTTGGCAGATGATGTGGTAAACTTCAGATCCTGAGATTTTCTGTCTTTCTCTGTGCCTTTCTCGTCCCATCATTCTGGTGATCTTAGTTCCACCTGTCTGGACCTGGGCTGCTTCGCTCAGATGTCTTCGTGTTCTTGGGTGTAAGTCCAGTGGTTTGCACCTCATTGTAAACTCTGTATTTCCATTTGTAAAGACTCTGAACTCTTTGAGAGTGTGTTTGACTTGGTGAAGGTTTAGTTCAGAGGATCCTGTGGTCTTTTAGGTCTTTTAGGTCTTTAGGCCTCCTTCACTTGCAACAACATCTCTTTGGACCTCATCCTGAAGTTTAGCGTTCCATTTGAATTCTTTGTCATAGGTTTGCTGATACAGATTTAAAATTGTCTTTGTGTTCCCGTTGAACTATGTGGAGCTCTGTTTGTACTTTCTTATTAAAATGACAGAAAGTGCGAGCCGCTCAAACACCTGAAGGCGATGGAAGAACGAATCAGCTCTTCTCGCGGTGTCCTTGATTACAACCAGTCTCCCACCTCTTCAGTGTCCACAGGCTCCACGTCTCCACAAACCTGTAAAACACTGAAATCAGTTCACCGTCACACCAGGCGTCCGGAGACATCCATACACTTCCAGTTAATTTGTCACACCGTAGAAAGAAAACACAGAGACAGACTTTAGAAAGGTATGAAGAGATGAGCATAAGCAAACAATATAATGACGTGACAACATGTGAATGATTATGATTGGTAATTACCTTGGACTCTCCGACTGCTGTATGACTGAGGTCACGGCTGCAAACTGGACGTGTGCACTGAGCCTCAGATGGCCCTACACGAGCCTCCTCCAGTCTAATGTCCTCCACCCGTGCTTCACCTCTTACCTTCACCTAGTTTGTTTTTAACAACCCTTCCATTTCTGTCCTCCAGGTCTTTCCAGGACTTGGCGAGGCAGATCGACGTGGACTACGGCACTGTGAGGGACTCGGCGGTCTACGACTACTTCAGGAACAAAGGCACCAACCCTCTGGAGCAGGACAGCACCTACTCAGAGCTGTGGAGGACCATCAGCAAGAACAACGGCATGGATTACTCCGTGTCCAGCCCGTCAGAGGGAATACGCAAGGTACCGCAGAGGTGCTGGTGTGTGATTGTAATAGAGTAAAATCATCAGCTTTGGTTCCAACATCCATGGTTTGGCCTGCAGATGCAGCAAAAATAAATATCTCATAAATCACTGACGTGCAGTGGAAGCATGCAGAGTTAGTGGGAGAGCAGGGGTCAAACACCAGCGGCCTCCAATGAAAACCCAGATCAAATGTCCGAGTCAGCTGAGAACAGCTGTGTTCAACACTGGCTTGCTGTAGTAGCTACAATATTCACCTGACATGTGAAATCTTGAGCCTGGGAGGAAACACAAACCTGGATAACCTGAAGTGTATCCTGTAAAAATCCTTATCCAGACAGGTGGGTCTGTGGGAAATAAGGGGGCGTTCCTGTTACGTTTGCCTCTTTGATGGACAGGTCCATAGTGCCACGGGCAGCTGTAGCTGCTAACTGGACCAAATGTCCCCGGTTTCTCTGGGAGACCAGATCCAGATGGTCCCAGCATCCTACCCCACCTGTTTTAACTCAAGCTGAAAGCTCCTCTCTTTGCTGAGTGTCCAAAGAGGCCACAGATCGGATGAAGGGATTACAAAGTGGGCTGTGCTGGTGTCACATGTGCTTGCTGTGATGCTTGTTATGGACAAATAACAGACCAACACTCAGCTTCAGATCTGACAGGCTGTTCCTCCCAGTCACAGCCCTGCAGGTCTCACTGCAGGACAGTGGAGTCTCTTAATAGGACACTCTCCCCTCAGGGGCCCGAGGAAGGCCGAGTGCTCCGACCTGTTGTTTGGTAGAAGCACAAATGGCAGTCGGGGTCCGTCCCTCGAGCAGAGGTGATACACGTATACTCACATCTGCACTTCTCATCAGGGGCAACTTCAGATTGGAGGGGTCCGCGTCCTCTCCAGAGCGCAGTCCCAACCTCCAGGTAAAAGTAACAGGAAGTCGTGCTCAAAGTTTCCCCCTTTCTAATGAAGGGCTGAGCAGCTGAACTCTTTCATGCTATTTCCCCTTTTTTTGCAGTAAACCCTGCAGCACTCGTTCCTCCAAGAACACCATTTGTGTGTTATATTGATGCACGCATATCAATAATGGTGAAAACAGAAGCACACGCTCCTCCTGCGTTACTCCCAGCAGGCCGCATGCAAAGACACTCCTCTGTTTACCCATTACTTAATTTCAACAGCAGTTTCACAATATCCCAATTAGTGTGTGTGTGTGTGTGTGTGTG